CAAAACAAACTCGTTTAAATTTCATCCAACGTCTTAAACAGTTTAATATTTTCCATCATGGTACGAATAGACTGCCGTGAACTTGGCGCTAGACCAAAACGCCAAGAATCCGGCGACTAACGACAAGCTTCCGCTTGGATACGCGCACGTAAGTAAGCTCGCTGGAAGAGATAAATACGTTGACAGATTTTTTTACCGGGAATAATTATAATTCGCGGAATTTGAGAGCAGTGTGCGACAGATAGCGGTTTCAGGAAAAGCAGTAGTGATTTGATAAAACATATTTTATTAAATTGAAATTCAATAAAAAATATTCTATTAAGATAAAATTTCGCTTCAATCGAATCGATGTCCCGTACGCAATAGACTGTAAAAACCTTGTCTAGATTTGATATTTTACTGATAGTTGTATTTTTTACGGATAAGGAGACAAACGAGCATGCAGCACGTGATGGTAAGTGATCACCGTCGCCCATACACGTCTGCAATACCGGGTTGCCATTTTAAAAATGTGTGGGCTCCTTTCTTGAAGGTTCATAGGTTATATCGGTCCAGGAAATACACTGGCAATAGTGAATTTCACAGATTGGTTATACGAGGCAGAAGATTCCGTTTAAATCGCACCGTAGTGGACGAAATGACGAAACTCTATATCGCTTGCCAACTTACCGATCAAAGACTGGTAGCAATTTCGAATAAATTTGCAGTAGCTGCACGAACGGGTCGGCTTAACCAGGGAAAGACGCTCTTACAAAATACCAGCGTGAAAGAGTAGATTGATGCTGCTGTGTTTTGTATGATAAGTGTAGATAGATAATTGGAAACTCTTTATGTAAACGAGATATTTCATCTTAGTCCTCAGGGGTAACAACCCTTCTGCATTTTGATTCTTATTCAGGGATGTAGATGTCTTATAGATCACAGAATCTACTTACCATCAGGTGGACCGTGAGTGTACTGTGTGTTTGTCACCCTAATTTTGTATAAAAGAGATATATTATGGCTTAAGAGCAAATGACGACTCCATCGGGTAAGAACCACGAACACTCAGCACACTATCGTGAAATAGCAGTAACGTGCCGCTGTTTTAGATACATATTTTTTCACTGGTATCGCGGATATCTGAAGTGGAACCCCATCTGAATTTTGAATCTTAATCGAAGATAGATAGATGTATGGACATAATTACCTACGTATTAGCATTGCGGCGGCATTAAATTACTACTTAAACAGAAAAGAGTCGATACAAGTGGCTCATGAATGTGCTTTGTTAAAGTCTTTGGAACATGCGTACGTTCAGCGGTGGACTTAACTGATTGATTAATGATGGTGACAACTAAACTCAAATTAGTTATTGATTTTCATTTTGACGTTGACATCGTGGGTACTTTTAGTAAGATGTTACATGTAAGATTTTAGAAAAAATAAGGAATATCTCGTCATGCCCTTGTCGATGTATCTAGTGATCCAGAAGGTGGCAGATACTTTGGTCATCGGATCAGCATCGCAATACAACGAGGCAACTCTGCCTATTTTACCACCTAGTATTATTTACTAATGTTTTTTAATCATATAGTATAATTTTATAAATTTTAGTTTTCTTTTAATTTGTTTATTATAAAATTAGAAAAAATTTAAGGTTTAAATATATAATTCAATGAATAAACATTACAAACAACATATTATATATAACATATCTTGAATTATTAAATTAGCTTAACTTAGGCCTATAATTTTAAATAAATGTAATTTATTTAAAACCACTAATAATAATTCAATATTAAATATAGTACACTACTGTGCAGTTACTGTTAATATAAAGGCTGTCATCTTAATTTTATTGAACGGAAACCGTAGGTCCATGAATAAACAATTATAAATATATTTGGTCTGGGAAATTCTCCTCTCATTTTACTATTTGAAAGTACTTAAGTTGAAAATTAGAGTCCGGAACATAATTTTTATCACCATTGGGTACAGTTACCAGTTTCCTTTTACATGTTTGTTCGAGAAATTTATAACACTTTCGTATTTTGGTGTTTATTAAGATAGCCGTAATAAATAGAGCCTAAGTTGCTACGTGGTAGGATTTCTTTTCTACCTACGTGTCAGTCTAGGTAGGTGCCACCATTTTTTTTAGGAAACTCAGCTGCATTTTCTAAGAATCATACTTAAAATATATGTCGGATATACATTAGGAAAATCGAATGAATTTAAACACCTAATAATTAATTTAAAATATATTATTTTAGCACTTACAAATCACTTCCCCACATTAAGCACACTATTTCATATATTATAACATACACAAAACACTTACATACATACATACACATTCGTCATATTACTTAGTCATTATTCAAATAATATATAATAGATATAGTAAATGTGTTCAAATATGCAAAGAGATGTAACATCTTTTCGCAGCGTCAGTAAGTCAAGCCGATCAGAAAGTACTCGGTCACCTACGATTCGAACCGCTCTGCGCTGGATGGACCAAATGGATGGAGCTGACACTGGAGAGACCTGGCCCAGATATGGTAAGAGTATTCCGTGTACCGACATGAAACACTGTTCCGTTCTGCTGAGCACGCCAAGCCTTTTAAATACCAATTTGGAATCTCTCTTCCAAGTGACCATGATACTGCACGTCATTCGATTTGTCGACGCCGAGTATTCCAATACTCGCTGAGGAAACAGGGGGAATGCCCTGAAACTGAGGAGATACGACAAAGTACTTTTTAGCGGTAAACGCGCAAACTTATATCTTCGAGGAATTGACCTTGACTAGATTTTGTCGCCCCCCCCTCCCCCCAATTCGAGACTTTGTTCAACAATGTCTCGACTTCAGACACAAGTTTGTTCCGGTACTTGGTGATGTTTTACCAGTTCTGTCGTCCGCATAGCAATGAATATATATACCGGTTTGCAACATATCATTGATATACAGAAGATGTTTCTTGTATATGTTGCAGAATAAGATGCAGCCTTGTGAAACACCAGCATTAATAGGCTTTCAATCGGAGCATGCACCGTCTACTACGACCTTGATGCTCCGATCAGATAGAAAACTGCTAATCCAATTGCACATTTTCGCGGGATACCCATTGAAAGGAAGCTTTGGGAAAAGCGCTTTGTGCCTAATCCGATCGATGCCTTTGCTATGTCCAAACTATGCCAAAGCCTCCCCCTTGGACTCCATCGCCTGCACCCATCGGTACGTTAAATAAATAAAATACCACCAGCTTAGCGATCCCGATGGAAACCATACTGGCAGTCACTAATCAGCTGGTGATCCTTAAGGTACCGCATGAGCCAGCTGTTAATAATGAACTCCGTTATTTTGGAGAACAAGTAGGTGAGTAGTTGGACGGATCAGAGCGGTTACGTTTTTTGGGGATCGAGTGCAGGAAAGCTGTCTTCCATAAATTTGCGACTACGCCTAGGGTGTAGGAGAAAATTAATTTGAGTAAAATAAAGTAGAATGCACAAACAATATTAACATCATTAAGCTTTACAAGGTTCATCGCAGCACTTAAATAATGTTGCTTCCTGTTCCTTCACGCTACCTCTGCGCTCCAGTGTTCGGCATGGCTCTAAGCCTTACTGCTCGCCTCTGCTTCACGGCACTCTCGCAGATTACTTTCCTTCTTCTCGACTCACCGCAGACTACAAGACAATCTCCTGGCGTATACACATTCGTCGACAACTGCTCCGGTCTGAGCAGGGGAGTGCTGTAGCGGAGCTGACGTCGTGCCACAAGCAAAACACATCAAAGCCTAAATCGCGCTATCAAAGTTCCGAAGTAAAAACACCACCAACAGTATATACTATCAGAAAAAAAGAATACAACTTTGAGCTTTGGGGCTCCCGGGGCATATAACACCTTGCCCGGCGGGAGATCTCCCCTTTTCCTTCCACCGACAAAATTTTATTTTAATTTAGATTGGCATCTGTTTTCTCAAAAAATAAATATGATATAAATAAAATATTATACTTACATCAAGTTAAATAAAAACAAACCGTCATTATATAAATGTTATAACAACATACCTTTCAAATCGACACATAAACAGAATGAAGGTAATAATAATAATAATTAGTGATTTCATTCAGTGATTCTCGTGCTCAAAATGGATGTCAGTGTCTTATATATGGTGGGTAGACACGTGATGGGGCGGTATTTGCTCGGGTCTGTAGTATCCTGATCTTTAGGAACCACATGAGTGAAGCCAGTAGTGAAGAGGCTCGGGGGAGCGACTTCTGATCGAGAGCCTCTTGAAACTGTCGGGCGAGCACAGCGTGACACCCTACGAACCCTTTCCGCCAGTAATGATGCAGCCCGTCGAGCCCCGGACTTTTCCAGTTCGGGGCCCTGCGGACCGCCACAGCCACGTCTTCAGGCGTTATGGTGACGGGGTCCATAGGCGTAAAACTTGCACTCTGGCTCGCCACAACTTCCTTCCAAGGGCCCTCGCTGTGGCTTACGGGCTCTGACTACAGGCCACGCCAAAATACGACAGTATCAGCCTGATCCGGTCCTGGGCCCGCTCCACATACCTCTGGTCGCTTCAATGATTTATAGAGCCTTTTTGATCACGCAGGAAGAGACGATTCTGGTTGAACCGCCTTGACCTCTCGCTAAATCGTCGAATCCGCTTCCCCCAAGCAGCGATTTTTTGCTTCAGGTCATCTATGCACTCCGTTAGTTTCTTTAGGTTAGGACAAACTAATATTTGTCCCAGCAAACGCCATTCTAACGGTGCCCACAACTCTTGGTCTATTATTACTCGACCTGAAGCTTGTCAGTCTGCCGATAAGGGCCCTTGCCTTTGCGATATGGTCCTCAATTCTTTTTCTCCAGGCTGGGATGGTGCTACTTTTTTGAGTAGCACGTCCAGCCACGGGAAGTTTGGCGCCAATAATACAGCATACTGCCGGTGCGGCACCAAAAAGAATTGAGTCCATCTCGCAAAGGTCCCGGCTGGCTTCCAAATAGGTCACCAGCATTGGGTTAAGAGCCCGCACGAAATCCCGATTTCGAGAGGCATGCTGCGCGTTTCCAGCATCGACTCTTCCAATATGCTCCTCATTTTCTCTAGTTCGTGGGAGACTATTCCATCATCGTCTGAATTAGCCACAAATGGAATATTGATGGCAGCATCCACACATGCAGTTTGTTGCGCATCTAGTGGCACCGCATTCCCAGCCGTAGGATTTCCATTCGATGAAGGAATAGCCTCACGTCGTAGTCGTTCGAGTTCGGCGTCACCAAATATGTTGGAGCGCAAGATGTACCGAACTCGGTCTGCCAGGTTTTGCTTAGTGACGGATAGAGATGGCTCCAGCTCTGCAAAAAAGCGATGCATCCGAGCCCGATACGCCATACATCCAGTTTCTTCCCCTTTTGCCCTAATGTACGCCCGCAGTGCGTTTGCGTTCATTAATTTTGACTAACGTATGCGACGTGCTCTACCAGCGGCGGCCTCCGTGATTACTTCCTGGCGAGATCGGATGATCCATTCTATAATGACGTCATTTCTAGTGATAAAGGACTTACCCCTCTATCCTTAGCCAACGAGCAATGGCAGGACCCGGCAGTACAGAGCATTTCCGACCCGGAGACGGTATAGAAGGAGAAGGAGCTACACGGAAGGTACTACAGGGCTCTACATGAGCCCCACGTAGATACAGCCGCCTCCCTCAACTGACTACGTTTCGGTGACCTCTTCAGGGAAACCGAGGGTTTTGCCTGTGCAATACAGGATCAGGTTATTAATACCAACAACTATCGGAGATACATCCTAAAGGATGGCACTGTCGACGTCTGTCGAGCTTGTCGCCATCCCGGTGAGTCACTTAGGTATTTCATCTCCGGTTGTTCGGCGCTTTCTAACTCTGAGTACTTGCACAGGCACAACCTAGTAGCCAGAATTCTACACCAGGAGCTCGCTCTGAAATACGGTCTCGTGGACCGGAAATTGCCGTATTACAAGTACTTGCCGGAAGCCGTGCTCGAAAATGACCGCGCCAGGCTCTACTGGGACCGGGCCATCATCACGGACAGGACTATTCTTGCGAATAAGCCTGATATTGTGCTGATGGACCGGACACAGTCAAGGATATTTTTGGTCGACATTACCATTCCGTATGACGAGAACCTCTTGAAAGTCGAAACAGATAAACGAACAAAATATCTGGACCTAGCTCACGAGGTGACTGACATGTGGGGTGGTATGCCGGCCGAAATTATTCCTGTAGTCGTCTCTGCGAATGGGCTAATCCCAGTCAGGTCTCGGGTCATCTGAGGCGACTGGGACTCCGTGACGGACCGCTCCGGGCTCAAATGCAGAAGGTGGTGCTCCTCGATACCGCCCGCATCGTCCGCCGGTTTCTTTCCCTTTCCTCCTAACCCTCGGCCGTTTGGTCTCCCCTGCCGAGGGCTTCCATCTGGTTGGGCTTTTATTTATTTATGTATTTTTGTATTTATTTTATTTTAATTATATTTATGTATATTTATCTTTTCATTTTAATTTATAATTATATATTTATAGAACCCAACCACATGAGAAAACTATATAGATACCCCACATAATAATAATAATAATTTCTTTATTTGACACTTATAATTTCATACAACATCTTTGAGCCCTGACTCCCAAACTAAGATACCCTGTATTTCAGGAGTCAATTCCTTCCCATTCAGTAATTCTTTGTGTAATATAGATGAAGTTGGTGTAGAATAGATTTTCGTTACACGGCGGTTACGGCTTCTTAGTTATAATTTCATACAACATCATTGAGCCCTGACTCCCAAACTAGGATACCCTATCTTTCAGGAGTCAGTTCCTTCCCATTCAGTAACTCTTTGTGTAATATAGATGGAGTTGGTGTAGAATAGATTTTCGTTACACGGCGGTTACGGCTTCTTAGTTTCAGACAGTTTTAAGATAAGTTGGCGTTTATAGCTATACTTAGATATATTGAAAGTAAACACTAACAGAAATTATCACTATAATATTTACTATTAAAATTTTTCGGTAGACGAGTTATGATTTGTCATGACTCGTCTACCGAAAAGTTTATACCGTATTTTGTACGATATTCTATTCTACCTAGGTAATTCAGTCTCTAAATCGCAGTGTTGTTGTATTTCAGTCTAAAGTTACAGGTTGTGAAGCATTGCATCTTAGCTAGGTAACAACGCATTTGTAGCTTTGTTTGTTTGAAGTTGGTTAAAGTTGTCAATGGGCTGTATTACAGTTTACCGTCGTGTGTATTCGTAAGTTGTATATATATATCGTACTTACACCACCATATCGTTACACAACAATGCAAGCAGAAATATTCAACGGCAGAGAGAAACAAGACTATTGGGCAGAAAACTATTCGCTAGAAAATCGTAGGCACAAAAATAAGAATTACTTGTATGATAAAATTTGAAAATGAATGAATTTTATTTTTTATTAATAGGACTCTGAAAATATATAATTCCAAAAGTTTGATTAAAAGCTGTTAATATTTTCTTAGATTTCAATCTTTTCCCACAATAACTTACGATCGATGCGTTTAAAAATAAATTCATTCAGCCGTATATTGAAGCGGTAAACATTTTACAATATCTGTTTTCATTCAAGAAACTGATTCTGTTTAAGTTGATTCAGAAGACAGCGAGAGTAGACTTAATGAAAAGCATATATGAATAGAAAACACAGATAAAGTAGTGCCACGGATTTAAAATACTACCTATTTCAAATTACACTTCATTCATACATATTTTGTTTGTAAAACGAATGTGTCGGCTCCACCGAGGAAAGACCATGTTCTCACCTATTAGTATTGTACGCAGCAACATTAAGCTACTGTTTTACTCAGGTAAGTGAAACAGTAGTTTAATGATGCTGTGTTTCGCGTGGTGAGTGTAGAAAATCGGTAACCCTTTTGACCAACAACAACAAAGCATCTTGCTTTCGTAATAGAGGACAGATTGTTTGTGATGTTTGTTTGATATGTATATGTATGAACTTACAATGATCTAGACTGTGTGATAGTCAGTATGAACTTACAAATCTAGACTGTGTGATAGTTTGTCACCCCAGTTCCATTACTGAACATTACGTTCTACAAAACTCAAAAATTGTAGGTGTAAATCCGCCATTTTACTACGCTCTTCAAACGAGGTAATATACATCATTTTATTTTATTACGCAGATCCTAGCTAATTTAATTATAGCCATCTTTCGTTTGGTTTTGTTGTAAACAAACTTCAGAATTCAGGCGCCAGAATAAATCCTTTTATGTAGTTAGAATAAAGGTCAAACGTAGTTTTCTCAATAACAAAATTATTACAGTACAATAAACGAACATTTCCGTTATATCAAATGCATTATGTTCCGCTCGCACAGAATCTGGCTACCGACCCCTCGGACGTCCTTTCCGAAATATAAACAAGTACATTTTATCGATGAAACTGTTAAACGAAAATAGCTTTTATTACTGGAATCGTGAGCCAAGCAATAATCAATTAGCCGTTAACAAGTTCCTTATTCCAATATTAATACTTTGTATTCTTGTCAAATGGAATGAATAGCACTAATGAAATAAATATAGTATAGCGAATGTCATTTTGGATATTACATTTCTAAATAGGACTGGATTTAATGAGTAAAGAGAAATAATAGCAATAGTAACATTTATATGTTACTTTTGCTGATTTAGATCTGTTTTCCAGATTTTAGAAATAGTATTTACGTGGTGAAGCCTTTCTAACTTAGTCCTCACCGGTGCCAACGCTTCTGAAGCTTTCTTGTTTAAACTTAGACAAGGGTATATATGGACCATAGTGGCTACTTACCATTAAATAGACTATTAGAGCGAGCGTGTAGGAACTGAAGATCCTTTTTACAAAGTAAGACTCCTTTTACTGGAGGTGAGTGTTTCTATCTCTGCATATTGATCCTTAATCGAGGAAAAATGCGTGGTAGAACCACGCTGCAGCTATATTATGGTTGTAGCACGAATGGGTTGGCTCGACCGCGGAAAGACCACGCTCTCACAGAATACCAGCGTAAAATAGCAGCTTAATACTGCTATGTTTCGTATGGTGAGTGTAGAGATCCGGAGACTCTTTTTTACTGAAAACGAAGCATTCCATCTTAGCCCTCAGAGGTGACAACACATCTGCATTTCAAGAAAAAGAAAGAAATCAAGGATAAATGTAAATGTCTATGGGCCACAGCATCCACTTATCATCAGGTGGACTGTGTGCTCATTTGTCACCCTTATTCTATAAAAAAATGTAAATATCTATGGGATACATCATTCCTTATGGGATATATCAAGTGTACTTTTTCTGTAAAAAGAAGTTCGTTAGTCACACATCAAAACATTCAAGAAGTAAAGTAAAAGATAAAAAACCGTGATAATATCCACTGAACTGATGAATACCTGCCATTTATCACATCCGTGGAGAATCTTGGGAACGGTTTCCTTTCCATAATGAATTAAATTCGTTATAATTCTATTTTTAAAATGAAAGGAACTAAACATTACGACACGACACGTTGAAAACCATTTATGAACTGTCGCATTTGATTCCTTGAAACAGTTTTACGTAGAAACTGTTCCTTTCTTAGATTCCGCGAAAATATTTGAGGCTATTTTAAATGACTTCTATTTGACGTTAAAGGTTAGTAAAATTTATGTACTAACTGTTTTTATGCGATGATCTGACGTTCTTTACAGTGTACTATATAATTATGTTACACTTACAAAGTCAGTATAACATTTTCTGTACTACAAAATATATGTAGAGTAGTCAAATAACTTGAGTTTTCTCTATTTATAATTTATATGTCTCTATTTAAAATTATGCTATTACTTAAAATTCACCTTGGTATTCTGTGTGAGCGTGGTCTTTCTTTTTTTTTTACTTTTCCACGTCTATTCATTGTTTTCGGCTCTAGGTAGTACCATGCGATTTCATATCTCCAAACCCTATTTCACCGCCCTTGATTACAACGCTGAGTCACTGCATACTACCGATGACTTGCATAGTAAATACAATCAATAAAATTCATTATGTTTGATAGATTCTAGTTAAATATGAAATATGTTACCATGGGCTTAGCTTGTTAATAGATAGCTGTATGCTGATGTCCTCACCACATCGACTACTTCCTATAACTATTCGGGAAATATTGCAGTGCTACAAGTAATAGCAATTTCCTCCAGATAGAATTTCACTCTCGGCGGCTAGTCTCAATGGAAACCAGCCATTTGCGCAGGACAGGATTGCAGTTCCTGTATATATGCGCAAAAACAGATGCACAATCTATTCCTTCACTCTCATATTTTGATATGAAGGCAAAACAACTCGACTGGAGAGGTACCAGGCGTAAGACAAACTTTACAGTACCTTCCGAGGTATGGACGTGAAATACCG